AGGCACCTAGATTATGATGCCAGGCGCAGCGACTCTCCAGGCCTACACACACACGAACTCTGACATATATACAGATATGCAATCACCCCACCCCCCATCCCCCGCCTTCAACGCTTCGTACCACCAGTCTGACAGGCGGGTCTGTGACCAGCGCCGAGAATGGCTGCAGGACCGGACGGATACCTGTCTGTGCTGGGTTACCTCCATCCCCCACTCCCCTCCCCTGTTGCAAGTCGTGTGTGTTCATGTTGTAGACTGTACTGATTGTGCTAATGTTGCTGAGGTGTTTTTTACTGTTCCCAAACTGTACTCCTCACAGGAGCATAGTCCGGGGGTTGCCTTTTTTACTCCTCACCTCTCCTCATGTCATGCTGTATTTTCTTCCTCAATGTTCTGTCTTTCTGTCCTGTCTACCCCCTTGTCATATTGTGTGTATGTCTGTATGGACATGTTGATGGCTAATTTCGCTGGTACTTGTGACTAGTGACAATAAAGACTTACTACTCTGCTTTCAACCCTTAGGTGCCACAGGTGTTATTAGGGGCCCAGTTGGAGTCTCCCCTTTTCACTCATAGCCATGGACTTGCTTCTTCTGCTGCACCTGAGAGGGCTTTGATGGTTTGGCGTAGGGTTTTGCCTCGCACTCCCAATTCCTTAAGCAGCCTGATGGTTGACTTGCCCACGAAGCCTCTGCAGCCGACTTCCACTGGGCAAACCTTGGATTTCCATCCGCGTTGCTCAGCATCAGCTGCCAACTTGGTGTACTTAAGGCTCTTGCGCTCAAATGCCTCCTCTACAGCAGCCTCCCAGGGAACGGTAAGCTCTATGATGTACACGATGTGGAGTGAGGAGGACCAGAGCACGAGGTCTGGTCTTAGGTTCGTTGTGGCAATCTCAGAAGGGAAGGAAAGCCTTTGGTTCAGATCTGCCACCGACTTCCAGTCTCGAGCCCTTCCGAGCTGGCCGATGTCCGATATTGTATGGACTTTGCACCTTCTCGGATTAACTCCCTTGCGTATGAAGGATGGAAAGATGGAGGAGGCAGGGCACTGATCTTTATCCGTCTGCTCTCCAAGGTAGCTGCTAGGCACTTTGGGACATGGTTGTGCCGCCAGGTATAGCGGCCTTGTGACAAGCTTGTCTAGCAACCAACCAGAATGTGTTTGCGGGGGATGGACAAAGGGGGCACGTCGGGTCTTCTCCGTACCACTGGTTGAGGTTTAAGGGGCAAGGCAGGACGTCGTATTTTGCACGTAAGATGAAGCTGATGTGAAAAGCTTCCATGCCCATCAGCTCCCTCCAAGAGAACTTTGTCCTCTCAACTCCCTCCCATCTCATCCACTGTACTTGCTTGGCTTGTGAGACAGCCTTTGCACACCTCGTTGCCTGCTCGTGCCGACGCACCTCCTCGAAAACCAGCCGTCGGCGCTGAGCTGGAGCTGCCCTGTGCCACGATGGTCTGCTCTCTCCAAGGCCGAGGCTGACTCTCCCCTGTTGCACATTGCCAATGGTGTCTCTGTGCCTGAGGTCTGACTTCGCATGGTGAGTAGCTGCAGCTGGTTTCCACTTCCTTTCGGTCACCAGGGTAGGAGCTGTTTGGGAAATACATGGGTCACGGGACTCTGTTAGTGTAATTTCCAGCCTTACGGTGCTGATCCACTTGTCCGTGCGACACTTCTGTCGCGCCGCGCTCTGCTTTTTTCCTATGGGTGACGTCACGTGACTTTGTCGCGCCGGCAAAGCATTCCGGGAAGGCGGCGCTTCATTTTGAAAATTGTCGCGCGTCAAAAAGCTGGCCGATGCCCATCTTTAAGCAAATGAAGTCCGTTGAACGCGACGCGTCTATCCAATAGAAATAGAGCATATGGGGACGGAGGGAAGTCTCTTGGAGGTCCTCTGTTCTAATAGGCAACATTTCCCGCTCGGCCAAAACCACGCCCATAGCGGCAAACAGAGGAACGCCCAGCAACATACAAATGTAGGGAGGCGCCGCGACACCACGCGACAGTCGTGTCGGACAAGTGGATCAGCACCGTTACTTTAGAGCACTTAAACTCTTCTACAAGGCTGGAAACAGGAATCTCCAGGATGCCTCTTCCATACAGCCCGATGTTCGTAAAGCATCTGGGGAGTCGCGGCCACTTTTTGGCAAATTAACATTTATTTTCAATGCACTTCATTTAGCCAAGGCTGCAAAACCGAATCCCTGTTACAAATATAGTAGAACTATGACTTCTACCACTAAAGATTGCTTTATAGATAATCTTCCTGATCAGTTTCATCTCCTCAGCATGCCAGATAGCTTAGAAGAACTCGATGTTGCAACAGAAACTATTGACTCTCTCTTTTCCAGCACTGCATGGTTGCTCCTTTGGGCTTAAAGAAGATTAAAGAAAATAGTTTGACGCCGTGGTACAACGAACACACTAGGGCACTCAAGAAAGAAGCCCGAAAAATGGAGCGCAGCTAGAAGAAAACAAAACTAGAGGTATTTCGCATTTCATGGAAGGAAAGTGTTATTGCATACAGAAAGGAATCTAGAAACATCTTAAAACACATCTTTTCAACCTGACATACACATAACACAAATCAGTTAAATGATTGTTAGGCTGCATAAATTAGGTAATCCCGAACCGGGAACACTTCTTATAACACCTAATGTACTTGTTGCATCGTAAGAAGAATGGCATCTTTGCTAATATTAGTCTGTCTGTCTCATCCTTATCCTGGGGTTACTGTAGTCAGCCGCATCCGGTCCATATCCAGATCAGACACGACCAAAGCACGTCCCTGAATGTCAGCAGAGATCCTGTCTACTAGACAATCCCCTATGAAGGTCTTGTAGACATGACAGCCATTGCCACAGATCCTCAAAAGAGACCACAAGAACCAGACAGGTCTTCTGCACGGGCCCTATGGCCAGCTTTGGCTCCATACCGGTGTGATGAAACTGATCTTCAACCAGATGGAACTAGATTAAATATTTTGAATGTTCCGATCCAATCTGACCTGTAATGCTGCCTGAATCATAATCACACCGTGTTTGTACGTTGGCCTTGACTGAGTCTGGTTTCTCCCAAGGGTGTTTCCCTCAATTCTGTCACCTGATGGAGTTTGGGTTCCTTGCCACTTTCACCTCTGGCTTGCTTAGTTGGGGGCGCTTAATATTCAACAATATAGACACCAAATTAATTAAATAATTGATCATCTGTAAAACGGAACTGAATAAACACTGAACTGACTGAAGCTGAAATGCATAATTTTCCTGTTGTCACTGTAAAGCTGCTTTGAAACAATATGTTTTGTATAAAACGCTATACACTCACCGGCCACTTTATTAGGTACCCCATGCTAGTAACGGGTTGGACCTCCTTTTGCCTTCAGAACTGCCTCAATTCTTCGTGGCATAGATTCAACAAGGTGCTGGAAGCATTCCTCAGGGAGTTTGGTCCATATTGACATGATGGCATCACACAGTTGCCGCAGATTTGTCGGCTGCACATCCATGATGCGAATCTCCCGTTCCACCACATCCCAAAGATGCTCTATTGGGTTGAGATCTGGTGACTGTGGAGGCCATTTTAGTACAGTGAACTCATTGTCATGTTCAAGAAACCAATTTGAAATGATTAGAGCTTTGTGACATGGTGGAAGTAGCCATCAGAGGATGGGTACATGGTGGCCATAAAGGGATGGACATGGTCAGAAACAATGCTCAGGTAGGCCGTGGCATTTAAACGATGCCCAATTGGCACTAAGGGGCCTAAAGTGTGCCAGGAAAACATCCCCCACACCATTACACCACCACCACCAGCCTGCACAGTGGTAACAAGGCATGATGGTTCCATGTTCTCATTCTGTTTACGCCAAATTCTGACTCTAACATCTGAATGTCTCAACAGAAATCGAGACTCATCAGACCAGGCAACATTTTTCCAGTCTTCAACTGTTCAATTTTGGTGAGCTCTTGCAAATTGTAGCCTCTTTTTCCTATTTGTAGTGGAGATGAGTGGTACCCGGTGGAGTCTTCTGCTGTTGTAGCCCATCCGCCTCAAGGTTGTGCGTGTTGTGGCTTCACAAATGCTTTGCTGCATACCTCGGTTGTAACGAGTGGTTATTTCAGTCACTGTTGCCCTTCTATCAGCTCGAACCAGTCTGGCCATTCTCCTCTGACCTCTGGCATCAACAAGGCATTTCCGCCCACAGAACTGCCACTCACTGGATGTTTTTTCTTTTTCGGACCATTCTCTGTAAACCCTAGAGATGGTTGTGCGTGAAAATCCCAGTAGATTAGCAGTTTCTGAAATACTCAGACCAGCCCTTCTGGCACCAACAATCATGCCACGTTCAAAGTCACTCAAATCACCTTTCTTCCCCATACTGATGCTCGGTTTGAACTGCAGGAGATTGTCTTGACCATGTCTACATGCCTAAATGCACTGAGTTGCCGCCATGTGATTGGCTGCTTAGAAATTAAGTGTTAACGAGCAGTTGGACAGGTGTACCTAATAAAGTGGCCGGTGAGTGTATATATAAAGGTGACTTGACTATCTATGTTCGTTCGTTCGTTCGTACATTCATTCATTCGTTCGTGCATTCATTCATTCGTGCATTCATTCATGCATTCTATCCGTACTTCCATTTTTGTGGAGAAAAGTCATCTCTTTCTTGCAAATTAAGCTCAAGAATCAGAGTTCCAGAAGTCAAAATAAGATATTATTGGACAATGCAACAAGGCTGAGATGCATGACATCTGAATCTGTCTCTGACCATATCTCATCTTTATACACTCCTCTTATCAGCTGTTAACCAATGAGATCGCCACACCTGCTTCCTAAAATTAAAGCCCCATCTCCTTGCCTTACATCTAATTTTGGGATCCTGCCAATTGAACTATCCATCCATCCATGAAAACATAATGAAAAAAAAAACTATCAGGACTGTGCTGGTAAAGAGAGGATGAGAGAGTGTGGAAATCAGAGGAGAGGTGGGGGGGGGGGGGGGGGGTTGGGGTGAAAATTCCACTTAGTGTCCATACAAAGCACTTTAGCACACACACAGACACACACACACACACACACACACACACATGCCTGTGAGGTCTTGGATCATCTCACAGCAGAGGAGTTGACAGGAATGATGCTCATCTGACAGATCGGACAGATATCAGACTCAAGATAATAGGATACTCACGAGTACACAGATTGCTCTGTCAGGTAAGACCTATAATTATGTGTTTTTTTGACCATATTTATTCTCAATGAAAGATTACGAGTATATTAATGATCAGAACTAATATTTATAACTTCAATTTATTTGCAAATCTTTGTATTGGACAGAAGTGATGCATTTAACAGTCGTCTTATTAAACACTCTTCACTTATACTATAGTATAATATTCGGATATCACGGGCTGTTTATGTACAGTAGCTCATCAGGGTGTGGTCCTGTACGCCATATAAACAGTTATTTCACTACAGTAATACTGAGATCACCAACAACAACAACAACAGTGCATATAATGTGTGGCGTATGTTTAGCTTATGACATTGTTCATAGTCTTTGCCAATGAAAGCATCACTATTTTTACTGTCCACACTTAGTGTTAAACTAAAGATTGGTGCTACAGATATGAACGATTCCTCCAATCATGTGTGTTGTTGATGAGAGTTTGGGCTGATACTTTACTAACTGATCAGATGCAGATTTTCACCTGCTGGACCAGAAAACAGGTGAAAAAAAAGTCCACTGTAAGAGAAACCTGAGCAAATCTACAGACTAGATCACAGAGACATGATGAATTACAGGTCTCTTTTTACTCCAGAGAGAAAGAAACCATCTAGCAACGACAAAGATCACCCTAGAAACACCCTAGCAACCACACAAAACAGCCAAGCAACCACACAGAATACTTTAGCAACTGCTTAACAATGCACTAAAAACCATTGACCGCATAGCAGCGTAACATCATAGCGGCAGGATTTGCAAGTGCATGCATACACACTCAAATGACGTAAGCAATCCCACATTAATAATAATGCATTCATAAATTAGTTTTTTTTTTATGTTTGAATTCATTGGTTTAATTATTTCCCCAGACTCGGCCGAGTCCACGGGCGGCGGGACATCTGAAGACATGCTGTCTGTCCCAGAGCACCTGCCCCTCAGGGACTGTTCCCGCTCAAGTTCCTGCGAGAAGCTGACGCCTCGCTCCGACAACACGGTCCTCAGCCTGTCCGGGAAAGAGATCCGCTGGACCCCTCTGCCCCCTCCAGGCAACTGCGAGTACTACTGGCACGCCATCCTCCTCATGACCTCCGGGGGCAGCGTGCTCCTCTCCGGGATGGTGCTGAGTGGACTTTACTTCGCTGATGTTTCCACCAAGGCCACCAATATTTTAGCCCCCGCCCTTCTGTCTATTGGTCTGATGGTGCTGGTGGTGGGTGTGGTTTTGATGCCCATCACACAGAAAATTAGGCATCAGAGTGCAGCGAATCGTCTCAGCAGTTTCTACAAGCTATGAGAAGAACCTAAAGCATCCAAACCCTGTCCTGGAGGGCCACTGTCCTGGAGAGTTTAGCTCCAATTTGCCTCAACACACCAGCCTGGAAGTTTCTAGGATGTGTTCGAAATCGCCCCCTATACCCTCATTCACTATTCCCTACATTACTCCACTAATATCGTTCACTTGACGGAGTGAAAGAAAACGAGTGAGTGAATTCGGACACTGAGTGCCGCAAGGGCTGCTGCTTTTGCATAGTTTGTGCTGTTTAATAATCATTTGAAACTTAGCAAACTGGCAGCACCAGTAGTAATAAAAAGATTTAACTTTGTCATGTAATCTGTGTAAACTCTGATTTAACAATTTAATAATCAATTAAAAAGGAAGTTATACCTGTATGATATTACGCTGTACCCACATTGGACCAGCGATCTGGAAAATGGATGGATGGATGATTCGGCTGCGGCGCCATCTTCTGGTCAGACGTGGGTATTAATTTGATGCGCCACTCTCACAGTTCATTATGGGTATTTCTAGCCGTTGAGTGTACATTGGTTGTACACTCGTTATTGCGGTGCATTGTGGGATTGAATGAGTGCGCTCGATAGTATCCACTATGGTTTCAGACACCATGGGTGTCCCCTCAAAGGGTATAGGGGGAGATTTTGAACACAGCCAAGTATTTCTGACAACTTTAATTAACTGGTTTATGTGTGTTTAATTGAAGTTGGAGCTGAATTCTAGATTAAATATTTTGAACAGAGAACAGTGGCCCTCCAGGAGCGGGATTGGACACCCCTGGTCAAGACCATTGTTTTTTTTTTTTTAGGCACTGTTTGATTCTGCTTCCATTACATTTCTTCTTTTTTTTTCTTTATATATATACACTCACCTAAAGGATTATTAGGAACACCATACTAATACTGTGTTTGACCCCCTTTCACCTTCAGAACTGCCTTAATTCTACGTGGCATTGATTCAACAAGGTGCTGAAAGCATTCTTTAGAAATGTTGGCCCATATTGATAGGATAGCATCTTGCAGTTGATGGAGTTTTGTGGGATGCACATCCAGGGCACGAAGCTCCCGTTCCACCACATCCCAAAGATGCTCTATTGGGTTGAGATCTGATGACTGTGGGGGCCATTTTAGTACAGTGAACTCATTGTCATGTTCAAGAAACCAATTTGAAATGATTCGAGCTTTGTGACATGGTGCATTATCCTGCTGGAAGTAGCCATCAGAGGATGGGTACATGGTGGCCATAAAGGGATGGACATGGTCAGAAACAATGCTCAGGTAGGCCGTGGCATTTAAACGATGCCCAATTGGCACTAAGGGGCCTAAAGTGTGCCAAGAAAACATCCCCCACACCATTACACCACCACCACCACCACCAGCCTGCACAGTGGTAACAAGGCATGATGGATCCATGTTCTCATTCTGTTTACGCCAAATTCTGACTCTACCATCTGAATGTCTCAACAGAAATCGAGACTCATCAGACCAGGCAACATTTTTCCAGTCTTCAACTGTCCAATTTTGGTGAGCTCTTGCAAATTGTAGCCTCTTTTTCCTATTTGTAGTGGAGATGAGTGGTACCCGGTGGGGTCTTCTGCTGTTGTAGCCCATCCGCCTCAAGGTTGTGTGTGTTGTGGCTTCACAAATGCTTTGCTGCATACCTCGGTTGTAACGAGTGGTTATTTCAGTCAAAGTTGCTCTTCTATCAGCTTGAATCAGTCGGCCCATTCTCCTCTGACCTCTAGCATCAACAAGGCATTTTCGCCCACAGGACTGCCGCATACTGGATGTTTTTCCCTTTTCACACCATTCTTTGTAAACCCTAGAAATGGTTGTGCGTGAAAATCCCAGTAACTGAGCAGATTGTGAAATACTCAGACCGCTCCGTCTGGCATCAACAACCATGCCATGCTCAAAATTGCTTAAATCACCTTTCTTTCCCATTCTCACATTCAGTTTGGAGTTCAGAAGAGATTGTCTTGACCAGGACCACACCCCTAAATGCATTGAAGCAACTGCCATGTGATTGGTTAATTAGATAATTGCATTAATGCGAAATTGAACAGGTGTTCCTAATAATCCTTTAGGTGAGTGTATAACATTTGTTTGTTAATGGAAATAAAGCTGGAATAAAATAAAATGTCAGGTGAAAAACAGTATTTTCGGATCTATGGAAAAGATTTATCCAAACTCTCCTCTGTAAAATGTATTTTTTTTATCATTTCTAAAATATTCTATTCTATAATATGTTAAATTGAAAAGTTGATAGCACTTTTCACAATACATATCGTTTCAAAGCAGCTTTACAGAAAATATGTTGTCAAAATGGAACTGTTTTTCTGTCCTGCAAATGAGTGCATATATATAATTAAACATTTGCATATTTAAACATACAATTTCAGAAAACGAGTAATGTGATACATTGTCTTGATGTACAGTGATTAATCAATTGGAGAGAGTTTGGTGATATCTATTTAAATTGTTTACCCTATTCACGTAGTGTCTTGTCTTAATGGAAAAATTGCATTGTGGCTGTAAAGAGAGTCCCACTTCCTTGGCATTTACTGAAACTTTGTGTACATGTGCATTAGCTAAGCCAATGTGGTTTTGGGCCTGGTTTGTTTGATGATATTTTTGTCCGAGTTTCCTGGTGCAATTGGAACATTAGACTCAGCCTCAGACGTCTCGACCACGGACAGTTGGCTGAACGTCTGATGCATTATGGCACATAAAATGGGAAACACTTCAGGAGTTTCGAAGTCTGATTGGTTGAATTCTTCAGGATTTCTCGTTCTTTAACCACCTGCAAACAAAGCCGTCGTGAAGCCAAACCCCCTCATGGAAAAAGAAAGCCATTGTGTTTACAACTGTGACAATGAGCACTTATCAGGATCAACTAAACACTATGTGAATTAATTTCACAGCACCATTATTGCAGTAAAATTGCACAACGTTCTTGAATGAATTGCACACCGGTCTGTTATTGTGGGGACATTAACTTTACATTTTCACACCCCTAAACATGACGCTGAACTAACCGAGCAGTGATTGGTTACTTTATGAGTCAGTTAGACGGCCTCTTGGCCAATGAAAGCTGCTAAAGAGTCAATCTGAAGGTCTGGCTATTGAATGTTGGCAAACAATTTTATATTTCTTATATTTTAATTCCTCATGAGCTGTGAACTTGCATGCCTTGAAAATATCTGTGTTGAAGCATTATAAGATGGACGCTGACTTGCTTTAATAAGGACTTTTGGATCATTGTCAACATTGCTCAAAGTTTAGGAATTTGAAAAAATGTATTAAACAAATTGTTTTGGATGATTATATGGGCAAAACATCTCAGCTGCATTTTAACTTTATATGCAAATTTACACTAAGGTAAAAAAAGAAACTGCATAATGTGAATGTTTATTAAAACTCGGTTTGATTATTGACCCAGATTCTTATTTACTGTGTGAGATGTATTTGTCTTTTTAATTTTTTTAAATTATAGTAATTATTAATATTGTAATTTTTGTTTGTTTTTATTGTAAATAAAGTTGCTGCCTTAATTTTTTTAAAGTAATTTCAACTTAAATTGCATTAAACCGCCTTAAAAATGAGTTGAATCTTGTTAAAACAAAACAAAAACTTAACTTATTTTGATTAGTTAAAGCATTGTAAAAACATGTGTTGTCATAACTTATTGATCATATAATTTGTTCTTTTTTGTCTTTATTTGAAATTAATCTGTGTGGGATAGATTAGGAATCCACTAAGAATCGCACAAGTCTATACTGGATAAACTAAAATATCCTTTTCATTTTCATTTCATCCAGTACTTTAATTAACTTTACAAATTTAATTAGCATCCTTGTATTCCTTAAGGGGTTTTCACCACGCTAACATTAACAACATCTTATTTTAATTTGTAAAAATAGGAAGTCAAGCTGGCATAAAACCTTTTCTTTTCTCATCATACCATCCAATCAGAAAGTGTCTGAGATTAGAAACTAAAACATGACTGGACCAGAAAGATGTGTGTGGCTTTTGGTTAAAAAACAAACAAAAAGACCCGGATCTCTCATTTGAATTACTTGAGCCCACATTTGACAGGCACATTTTTAGGATGTACAACCTGACACAGAATCCAACATACTGAGGTATTAGTTTTTATTTGTTATTCAGTTTTGCTTAGCAGGTAAGCTATCATTGACTCTAAATAACATATAGTCAATAAAGAGGCAAAATAGGTGTAGCCTACTCTTTATGCTTTGTTTATTTATTTATATATAACTAGTAATATCGCTGAATTAAACATGCGATATAGGAAGGCCATTTGTTTTTTGTTTGTTTTTGTTTTTATTAATTCAATGCCATGAGAACATGAGGTATTACATATTCACATTATCACATTAACATTAGCTGCCAGGAAATTAAAGAAAATAAACAAATAACAAAAATAGAATTTTTAATTAGCATTACATGTTTTCAGCGCTTTTTTGTTTTTTTCCCAAAAGATTTACATATAATTTAAAATCATTTTTTAGTGAAAAAATGTGGTTTGCATTGAGCCCACTTCTTTTTATGTATATGGAATTTTAAATGAATACAAATACACAGATTTCTGTCATACACTTCAGTTTTCTACTAATAAAGGTTTTTAAATCTTTCCAAAATAATCTTGAGTAAATACAGTGGAAAAAACGAATGGAAAATCGTTTCTTTTTCTAGTGCACAAAATTCAAAGGCATATGAAATATTAAGCTTAAATCTTCCCAAAAAATGCTTAGCAGGATAAAATTCTGTGAAGTATTTTGTAAGACACTTCCTTAATTTTGTTATTAACACAAAACTTGTTTGGCAATTTCCATGCTTTGACCCAAGAATAAAGAAGACCAAAATAATCTTGCTACAGGAAAAGACAGAGCAAAGATACATTTTTTATATTTTTTTTTTTTTAAAGCTAAATTTTTGTCAGGAAGGCTAGGCAATATTTTTTTTTTTATGAAGACAACAAGTAACATTGGAAGGCCATTTGACTGCATTATCTTGCTGCCATCTTGACATCACATACATGGGTTATATCCTGTATAGGCCTACTCATAAAAAAACAGACCAGAAAACTTTAATGAAATTAATTAAAAAGTTAAACAAGTGAATCTTAGATGATTAAAGGTGCGATGTCACTCGTTTTTTAGGCTGAAACATTTTTTTGTCACATACAGCAAACATCTCCTCCTCACTATCCG